ACTCCACGTCTTTAGAATTTTTGCATTTTTGTTTGGTAGAAGTCTCCACAGATCTAGCCACAGCCCCCTTTTCGAGACCCAGCACAGCAAACACAGATTTCTCGCTTGCGCGGTCGAATTGCATCATAAGGTTCACACTTGACAGGGAGCACCCAACGTGCCTAAAAATGGTTTGTTGGCGAATTTGAGAGCGAGTACTGGCTACTTTAGCGAGCCGTCTCAAATTCGCCAGACGTCGCTGAAGTAAACAAACTTAGAAGAGTGTGAATCTATGAATCTACAATAGTTTGATTGACAATGTTTTGCAATTAAGTGCATGATGGCATGCCGGTAGGTTGCCTTACAAATCGGGGGGGGGGGGGGGGGGGGGAACTCAAGACATTCAGCAGCGAGTAACTGTGAATTAATTATTCCCATAATCCTTTTCGATGTAGCCGTTTGGGGATGAAGCCAAATGAATGTAAATTGATTTTAATTGTGTTTAGGCGGAGGAACAGTACAGCCTCAGGTTACACAGAGTAAGTAATATAAAACGATTCTTTACTATGTGAAATCTACCTCAAAGTACATAATTTTACCTCACTTGTGTAACTTCTGTAGCGCTTATTGGCTGTAGAGCGTGTCAATTGACAGATAACAAAACGTGCAGGAGCCTGGGACTGAATATTTTAAAAGTGATACAATTTCACAGAAATCTGTTGTAAAGTTTRAACAAGTTTAAGTCATTAGAAATATGAATAGAATKWTTCAAAAATTACTAAAATTACAAAGAATGTATGTGTAGCTGGACGCTTTGGCTGGACACCAGGCATTTGTTTGTAATTTTGGCATGGTTTGCATGTCCGTAAACTTTATTGCTATAAGTTCAAACATCATGAAACTTAGTCAGTAAGCCTTTTATAAGGTGCTCTCTCACATGATGGGGATTTTATTTCTGGAACCTTTATTTAATTAGATTTTGAATTTTGGACCCAGCATATCACAGGCAACCCAAGAAGAGCATTTGATTCAAAATTGTTTTTTTAATAAAAACGATATAGAAATGAAAGAAAGTTATAGTGCTTAGAAGGAGGCAATTCCGGGAGAAGTCCCTTAGGAATAAATTCGGAAAAATTAATTTCCGACCTCGCTGGTAGAGCATCGGTGTACAAATCCGAAGGTCGTGGGTTCGAATCCCAGCGAGGTCGGAAATTAATTTTTCCGAATTTATTCCTAAGGGACTTCTCCCGGAATTGCCTCCTTCTAAGCACTATAACTTTCTTTCATTTCTATATCGTGTTTATCATAGTGCCATGCGGTCTTCATATTCATATTTTTTAATAAAATACATTTTATCTTAATCTCATGTGTTGCTGATGTTATTTAACATTGCTGTGTGTCATTAAAATTGAAGGGATTTAGAGCTATTTTTAAAAAAAATATCGCCATCAGTCATAAAAGACTACAAGGCTGGTTACAGAACTTCCACACCAATCGTCTTTGAAGGCCGAAAAAAATATCTTAAATCCATCTTTTGCCTCCAAAATCCCCTCAGCGGCATGTCCCTAGGATCCTTCTATCCAGAATTGGGCAATATTTCAACGGACATCAAATCCAACCGTGCCAAATCGTCATGTTTTTCGCTATTCTGACTCAATTTTTGAATCCGCTCAAGCATTCATCGACCTTAAATAGCGTATGGTTTTGAATCAATWAGAGGACATACAACTAAAAACTGCAAATGAATTATCTCACAACAAAGTCAATCTTGACCTTTTCATATTCATTTCTTTTTGTTTTCAGCTCTAAACTGTTCAGATTCGTCTGCAGTCTGTGCAAAGTACAAATACCTGTGTACTGCAATAGATAACAAAGCTCAAATGAAAAAGCTATGCCCTTCCACGTGCGGCTACTGTACAGGTCAGTACACCGTGCTGATTGTTTGCTATATTCTGTTCTGTTCTGTTCTGTTCTGTTCTGTTCTGTTCTGTTCTCATTGCTTATCATTGTATGAATACTCAAATGCTTCCATTTCTTCTTTTTTAAATTCACTTTCTTTTGCTACCATTGGACCAAACCAAGTCTTGAATTCAAGTAAGTAACTAACACATGCATGCCCACTGTTTATATTCATTATAAGCTGTTATGTCAGAGTCTTGTAACTAATGTCTGAAAAGGAATATTAAACGAGAGSGCAGTGGATTATCTAGGATCCAACAACAAAACGGGGTCAGATTTTCTACTTCTTTGCTTTTAACATACGARTGCTGTTCATTGATGTTTTKATGGATCCTAGATTCGCCACTRTTTTATCGTTTATTAGTATTACCATACTAGTGGACTATTGCAAATCCTTCGTTCTGATTGGTTACGCTTCTCGGGGTCTATTTTCAATAGTCCTCGACTAGCGAAAAGCGAAAACTTTTTGCGTATTTTTAGCAATAAAAACATTTAATTATTTATGTATTTCATTCATTTTTTATCCAACTAGTATCATTGGTAATACTAAAACAATTAGATCTCTCGGYCTCGTGGACAATACGAGCTGATAGCCCATTCGGCCTTCGGCCTCTATCAGTTCGTAGTCCACTCGCCCTCGAGATCTAATTGTTCAATATTCCTTTTCAGACATTAGTTACAAGATGTTGACATGTTATTCTAAATTAAAATGTCTAGCTGTCCGAAAAGCTTTCCCAGTGATKTACCCATGAAAAACGTGAGGAGATCATGGCAATAAGATAGAGAAATAATTTCGATTGAACTACATTCGAAAATTGAGGCGTGCAAACATTGAAAAAAAAAATGTGAATATGCTTTAAAAATGAAAAGTCATCTCGGTGTCTTTGCTTTTAAGAGGACAGAAGTCTCATTCACACATTTAGATGTTAGATTTAATGATGGTTTTGTGTATAGAGATCTGTGTCAACAAGATAAATGATGATTGGTGCGCGGCCTACAAAGCTAAGGGGGTGTGCAAAGATCCGGTGGTTCTTGAAGGCTGTCAAAAAGATTGCAACGC